CACAACAGCTCTCACCTCACTCACGTGCACAGAGGGATGGAATGTAGGTCATCGAACGTGACTCACTACTCTTCCCAGGTCGATGCCTGCTGGAGATTTGGTGAAAATTCATCTCGCTTTGTTTGCTTTTATTACTAGATCTAGTTGATAAAAAATAATAAATAGCTTTTGTATGGTGCATACCCCTGCTCGACAGCAAGCTCTATGCGCTTTACACAATATGTGAGGTGTGCTGACAAAATGAGTAACTTCTTACTTTATAGGTGGAGTTTGTACAATTTGTATGTGTGGAATAATAAAAGGCACGGTAGACTTGAACAAAATGGCAGCAACTAAAATTCTATAAATCAGACTGCAGTGTTGACTTTCAGCCGATATCTCCATTCTTGGACAGCGAAAAGTAACTCATTTTGTCAGCATGCCTCACATATTATTGTTAATTGTTACTCCAGCAGACCTTATAGCACCCAGAGTGGGTGGTTGACGGGTGCTCTGGTGTGGTTTTCGCTTCTTCTTTCCTATCAAACATCTATCTTCCTTATCTCCCCTTCTTCTTTTTTATGTTTGTTACTTTCTTGTAACACCTCTAATCTTCTGGCGCTCATATGACCTTAAACTAAACACTCAGAAACAGTGTCTGGTTTCCGGGAAGCAAACAGTGCATGCAGCCGATTAAGCGCTCAAACAATCTTTCTTTTATTGTTTGTTTGTTTGTTTGTTTCTTTCTTTTTTCTTTTAATTGTGACATTGCGCCACTGACATGGTTTTAAAGCGGGTGGTTGGAGGGTGCAACGGGTAGGTCTCACTACTTGACTCTCCCTCTCGGCTGTTGCTGTTCATCGGGAACCATCATATCTTCGACAAACCTTCTACAGTCTTTTACTAGTCTTAGTCTCTGAACAATGGGGGTAAACCAAGTCTGTAACAAACCTCTGATAATCGCGATATATCTACCTTTCTACCTCCCTCCGTGGGTGGTTGGCGGGTGCTCTGGTGTGGTTTGCTCCTTCTTTCTTATCAAACATCTATCGTCCTTATCTCCCCTTCTTTTTTTCTTTTTTTGTTACTCTCTTGTTTTGTAACAATTTAATCTTCGGCACTGATATGACCTTATTGTGTTGCAAGTGCGGTAAACCCCTTACTATTTAATTTCTTCTCTTTCTTTCTGGTGTTTCTGTCTGTTTAGTCTTCCTACCTCCCTCCACCCCCACCCCTTCTCCCCTCCTTCTTTTTTATGTTTGTTACTCTCTTGTAACACCTCTAATCTTCTGGCGCTCATATGACCTCATGCAGTTGCGAGCGCCGAAAAACCTCTACTAAAACAACAACAAAAAACCTTTTTGTGTTTCTGTCTGTTTAGTTTTTCTACCTCCCTCCATCCACCCACCCCCACCTCCACCCCATCCCCGGACAT